ATAACCACGGATATATATATATATATATATATATATGTGTGTGTGTGTGTGTGTGTGTGTGTGTGTGTGTGTGTGTGTGTGTGTGTGTGTGTGTGTGTGTATTTATAGATATGAAATTTAACCTTTATGAATAATTGTTTTTATCAAAAGTTTCAATGTCCTTGTCACTGCCAACTTATGGACTATTCTCAAAACTTTTATAACGAGCATTAGAAATGGAAGCAAGCGAGTTGCTGGCAGAAATATCCGAGTTTATATATATATATATATATATATATATATATAGTTTATCTTTGATATTATTAGGTAAAAACAAAGCTTAAAAGTTAATCGAAATCGAAAAGCAATGACTTCTCAAGTTTAAGTTGCATTCTGGTTGTCGCCTGCCACTTCTGTCTTATATGATCGCCGGTTACTTTATGATTTTATGTGCTGCTGACGCTGACTTTTATGTGCTGCTGACGCTGACCCTAACTTATTGGACAATTTTTTAACATAGAATAGTTTTTCTGGAGTTGAAGAATAACTTTGATGGTTGTTTTGTTAAAGAATATTTAATTTAATTAATTAAATTTATTTATTTCACTTGTTCAGGACTTTTTATTTTTTTAATAAGTAGAGTAAGAAGAAAGACTGTTGCGCTGCTGAATCAGCTGAGATTCATTAGAGGGCAGATGATTGCAGATGATAGATTCTTGATTGATAAACTATACTATACACTATACAGTATAGAGATAACCTGTTATGTATATTTATTTTTATAGATAGAAGTAGAGTGGTCCTTTTAAATGAAATTTATAAAATGATTAATTATAGTTATTTATAATTTATTTCATAATTATAAAACAAACAAATTTAAATAATGAAAAAGATAAACTAATGAGTAATAAAAAGATTCATAAAAGGATATTTAGTTAAATATAAAATAAAATTAGATTTAAATAATCTGAAATAAAATTAGAAAAAACAGTGGTCATTTGTTATGTTTTGTTTTTATTTTAAATTTAATGTTTATAAACTTTATTTTATTTACAAATTTGTATTTTCTAAATAATGTAATTTTATAAATTTGTAATTAAAAAAATCTTTATGTGGGAGGATTAATTAATCTATACTTGATTTACTTTTTACATTAACAACATTAATTTTACATTAATAACCAGCAATCAATGGGTGAAGGGAATGTGTCAAACGCTTCAATAATTTTAAACTTGACAAAAGTGGAAAATAATGTTGATGATGAGCAATTTTCCAAATCTAATGCACCCAAAAGCAGTTATGTTCAGCAAGAGAGGAAGCCATTGCAGCATAGTTTGCTTATAAATAGAAGATGTTTCACAAAATCAAGTTTTGAGATAGCTACAAGTTTTGTCCACAAATCACCAACACATAGACAAGTTTTCACAAAATTATTGAAAAGTTGTTGTCCAAAAAGTTCAAATGTATGGAAAAAAAAAATTTTTTCCCTTTTTCCAATATTTTCAATTTTAAAATTGTATGGCAGAAAAGATTTCTTTTGCGATGTTGTCTCTGGTTTAACAGTTGGAGTCATGCATATACCTCAAGGTTTATAAAACAATTTACTTTTTTGTCTAAATGACAATCTATATGACATGTTTTGTAGGTATAAGTGTTATTATGTTTAAATAAGTTATAATGTAAGTGTATTATATAAGTAATATAAGTGTATTGTGTTACATTGCCATATGAATTTTCCTTTATTCTTTATCATATTATAATAATAGTTTGATTAAAAATTTAGAATTTTTAAAAGTTTGTATATAGGAGTTGCTGACATTTGAAATGTAGATGTTTGTTTAATTATTATTTAAAAAAATTCCAAATTATCAATTTAACTTTTGTTTAATAAAAAAAGATTTTATTAGCCTAATCATTTAATTTGTAGTTTTTAGCCAATTTAGACACGATGAGCTTAAAAGCATTTTGCAATCAACAGATTGTTAGTGCACAACTATGACTTAAAATCATAAATTTCATAGTGTAAGAATTTTTTCTATTCAAAATTTTCATCTTCCTCCTACAGCATTTTGTTCACTACATCAAGTGAAATGTCACTCATTATTATTATAAATTTGATAATTTCACATTTCTTTTTTGAGAAAAAATTTCACTCTGCTTGAAATTGCTTAATAATGTTGAGTTGCAGCTTTTCATCCACCCTCTACAACCACCAATCAAAACTACTACACGCAAGCTTCGCCAACGTATACATAATTATCAAATCGCCACTTAATCAACTTATCAGGGTAAGACCTTCATCACAAGACACCTTAAATATATTAACACAAGAAATATTTGTCATTTGTTCAATTTGTCTATTCTTTTCCTCTAACGAAAACGTAACTTACTTATGTCATTAACTAGTCAATTAAATAATTATTCTATTTATTCGTTTTTTTTATATCATTATTTTATTTCCCATGCTTTTTATGCTTAAACATTCTTACCGTGTTATTTATTTATTTTCTGCTATCCTTTTATCCTATTGCCTTGCACAACTTGATGATACTGTTCCAAACCCTTGGACCTTTGCATTTAATATGTGAAAACAGGATATTGGTTTTTGACTTATTTGCTGTGATGATATGTACTAGTACCTCTGATGTAAAAGTCATTAAGTACTGGCGGCAACAATTCGCTGTCTGCAGCGTCTCATCGTGATTTCTGACACTCCAACATCTCTACTTTTATCATAATAAATCTGAAACCCTATTTAAATTTGTTTTTGGCGATGAGTTCTTTAAGGTTTTTCAGATTTTTTATACCTCAGCTTTTATATATGGTTTTTATTTTTTCTAGAACAAATTTGACAATATAAATTTAAAGTTGTATAATAAATAATTATGTTGCTCATAAAGAAAGGACGACAGTTTACGTCTGTCAACTATTGCATAACGTTGAGAAAAGAGCATTGAAAATGTTGAAAGTAATTTGTTAGGGCTTGTTACTTTATTTTCATTTGTCCTGGTTATGACATTAAACTGACCTTCACTGCCTTGTGAGTGATGTTGGATCATCAAAGGCTAGGCCCACCGCTTATAACTGTGGTTGCGTAAGGAAGGGCGTCCTGCGTAAAAACTAGCCAAAAAACAATACTTATGATGACGGAAATAACAATGGCCCTCAGTATCCGGCAGAAGAGGGTGCGAAGATCTCCGGAGA